ATGAATTTGGCATTAACTGGGCCATCATTCAAATGAGTCCAATTAAACATCTGACTGGTTACCTTTGATCATGAGCTCATAGGCCTCTTGTGTGACCCCCTCAGGCTGGTTTTCATTTTCTGCATTTGTGGATTTGACAGCCACCTCTGCTTTGACTCTCTTTGAACCCTTCACTTGCTCGGCGCTCCACATCTTCCTTTTGGCCACTGCTTTACCATTCTGAACACAGAAAAGTTCATTTTAAACATTTAAGAAGCACGAGATGACAAAATCCAGAAAACAGCACCGCCACCGCTAAAAATATACCTCAATTATACGACCGAGGTTTTTGTTTACAGCGGAGGGCTGAAGCACCTGAAGCGTCCTCCTCCCCATTCCTGCTCCAGATGTTGGCGCTACCAGGAATTTCTGAGAAAACAAACAGTTAACCTTAATCTCAGGTGTCACAACAACAAAACGAGACTGAAAATAAAGGCTTATTTCGGTGAGAATGAGTCAAGCAACTCTATCCAACACAGTCACAGGCTCCATTCACCTGCCTCAACGGTCATTCTTCTCTTCTTACACTTGTTAAGCTGGCAGTGAGAGATGGCAACAAGCATGGTTTCTGAGCAACTCCACATATCAGCCGTTCTAACAAAGCGTGGGAAAGGGGCAGGACGCGCATCAGCTGCATGCCGAAAACACCTCCAATTCCCACGGGCAGCGATTGGACCGCTGACATTATTATCTGACTGAAACATTCTTTAACCTGTAATTACTGTGGGAACTCGCCACTGAAGTCTCCTTATGACCAACTGCAAGTTTAGAGTTGGTTAATGTTTTCACTTGAACCATACAGGTGGCAGACGGATGCACGGTTACTGGCTTTCAACACACTGCCAATGATTAATATGTAGACCGAAGAGGGTCTCCGCTCAGTTTGTTCTAAATGGGAAACTTGATTAAAGTTGAAAATAAGCAATTTGATGACATTTGATAAAGCTGGCCGTTTTAGGGTGTTAAAATTTGCAATTTGAGTACTTGGTTTTATAATAATAATAATAATAGCTCATGTTTACTTGGATGTTCACATTAATATCAACAGTGGAGAGAATAAAACTAATAAATGCAATGTCATGTGTAGGGCTAAACGTTGTACATGCACAGATGTGGTATTTTTAATCAATTGAGAACTAAGGGCTTGTAAAAATAAAAATAAGCAAAATTCTGTCCTTTTCTTGACAATCGCATCCAGTTTAAACAGACAATCATGTATCCATATGTCAAACACTACCAATATTTGTTCAGTGGTTTTTGTCTGCTTGTTTGGTGTGCATAAACTAATCGAAATCAAAAATGGCTAACTGTAAACTACCTTAGCCAACTTAAATCTGGAATTACTTGTATGGTTACAATTTTGAAGAGGCTAATAAGGATTTATTAATCAAACTATGTGAATGGTGGATTATCTGAAACATTCATTAACCCACAATCATCTAATGGAACACTAGAGCCTTTAAACAACAACATACTTAAATCTAAATCTGGCAGTTTTAGGATGTTAGAATTTGAGTTTGTTTGGTTAATAAAAAATTAAAAATAAAGAAAGCAACATGTAGCTGTGGTTTACTTGGATGTTCACAAATGTCAACAGTAGAGATGATTAATTTTTTTAAGTGTCAATGTCATGTGCAGGGCTAAACGTTCTTGTACAGGTGTAAATGTGATATTAGTCAGCTGAGAACTTAAAGGGCTTGTAAAATACGTAAATATGCAACATTCTGTCCTTTTTACTATTTTTCTTGAGATATCATACAGTTTAAATCAGTCGAACCCTGCAAATTTTTGTTTAGGGTTTTTTTGTCTGCTAGTGTGGGATGCATAAATCACAATCATTATCATCATCTAAAATGGTTTACTTTTAACTACTTTAGTTAACTGAAACAATCTGGAATTACTTCTATGGTCACAATTTTAAAGATGCTAATAAGAGTCTATTAATTAATCTATGGAAATGGGAGATTCTCTGAAACACTCACAAACCCCCAATCATCTAATGGAACACTAGAGCCTCTAAACTTCAACATTCTTTAATTTAAAGGTTAACAGGCTCTGATCTTATCTCGGCTTAGCTGATCCAATTAAGTTCAGTCACATACCTTGATGTTTTCAGACGGGTTTTCTGCATTCTTTGGTCTTCTGATGGAACTCATACTTGCACCTGGAAAGTTATATTTCAGTAATTCAGTAATAGTTTTGAAAGGAACACGTAACGTTATCCAAAGTCCAGAAGAAACGAGTAGTCTTCACTTTTCTTGCCACCTTACTTGGGGTAACGTTACACTTAATGCTGCTTATGCACACCCGATTGTCTATTTATAGTTTTCTCAAAGTAACGTTACACACTGGGTTTGAAAAAGCGCTAAAATAAAATATAAAAAAATTTCTTCACAGAGTAAAATTAATAATTTGACCCATTAGTTAACGTGAGAAGATAATTAGCCAGACGTTAAACATAACAAACCCTACTGGTATAATGAACACTACTCATAAAGTTACATAAACTTTTAAGAATAATACACTAAAAATATTAAATTGTAAAAACAAAATCCAAGTAGGCCTCGCAGTCTGTTCCCATACATGTCGAACTATATATAATGTTACGCTTACATTTACAAGCACGTTGCGGATCTTAAACTGAACGTTGAGCAGTAATAACTTATCGAAAGCAAGAACAAAACAAGACATTTAAAGCTAACACTTACTTAATTCAGAATACAATCGCTCGCTTCACAAAAACATACACAGAGCAGCACTAGTTTGTGTGTAAAGAGCGCGCCACTGGCTTAAGTACTGCCCTTCTGTCGTCACGTGACGCCGGAATTCGCGCGTACTGAGACTGCGTGACATAAACAAACAGAGCAGTCTCGTTATTTTCATCATTTTTTTTTTATTTTCAGCAATAAATTATTAACATTTAACATCTATTGTCAAAACATCGAGTATGACTAAAACTGAAAAAAGCATAGCTGAATTTTGTAATGGTGTATTGATTTTATATTTGTTGCTTATTACTATATAACTGAATGTCAATAAATAAAATTTCTGAATATAATAATTTAACCAAGAAATATATCGTGTCCGTTCATATACTCCAAAGTATCTATGCCAAAGTTTTGAACCTTTGCCTAGAGAGGGTTACATTTTTAAACACAAAAGTTTAAACCCAAATATAATCATACATCTATCTAGTATAACATTATACAATTAAAATGCAATTTTAGAAATTATCTAAATTATTTAAAGTATTTATTAATTTCAAATTGACATTATTATTAATTTGAATACAATTTGTATTTATTTGTTTTTATCAAATGTACATGCAATTATCTATCTTTTTAATGGCATATTTGGGTCAAATATGTTTTTAAATATTAGATTATTTTATCAAATTTGTATGTATTTGTGTTTATTAATTATTTTAAAGTAATAATTTTGCATATTTATGCTTTTCTTCAAACATTAAATTCGAAACCCCCTGATTTAGCAGTATTATAGACATTAATATACATGGTTGTGTGGTAATTATTAAGTGATTTAAAACAGAAAAATTACGGAGTATTATATAAAGATTAGGTTGTGCACAAACACAAAAACGCATGCGTCTAAATAAAACGTGTCTCACCAACACTCCCCTACATAAATCTAGCTGACAGCAGCGCGCGCTCCTCCTCTGTCACATGTGCACAGCTGCGTGACGCGCATCGGCCATTTTGAGTTGTTTGTTCAGCGAGGAGCGCTTGTTATTTTCCAGACAAACGCAGATCAAAGTCCGCAACAGCCGAAAGAGTCGCTCGAAAGACATTTCACCCTTTCCTTCCAGCATTATGGGTCCACCGCGATGCAGATCCCGCCGTCTGTTACCTGAGAGAACGGAGGATTTCGGTCGGTTTGTCAGTTTATCTTGACATGGCATATACGGGTGTGTGACGACTGTAGAAAAGCTCGAAAACAAACGGGAGACCATCAAGCTAAACCTCCGTCGGGGATCGATCATCCATCCGGGGCGGGTTTTTTTGTACTGAGACCGGTGTATTAAGACGTGTTAGCATTGTTTTGCGGTACTTGCTCGGGTCGCGACGGGCTTGGAAATCAAATCGAGAAACAAAATGAAGAGAAACAATAGTTAGCCAGTTAGCAAGCCACGCATCGAAGCCAAGTGTCTACTAGCGTCGCGGAAACAAATTCGAAAACAGGCAAAAACAAAATGTAACAGTCGGTTTATTGATCAATACTAGCTTTTGAATGCTCTCGTAGAATTCATACTGGATATAAAAGAGATGTAGCTCCCTTCAGCCAGGTTATCAGTCGGTTGTTGAGTGTGTATTCAGCTTAGCTAGCATTAGTTTGCTAGCCAGCCACAAAATAAAAGCCTCACAATGAAACTCAACCGTGGCAGGAGAGCTCGTGGGCCCATTTTATGCCCTTAAACCCCAAGATGTCTATCAAACTCTGCGTTCTTACTCCGTGCCAAGATCTCATGGCATCTACATTTCTCTGCCATGGTTGTCTTTCTCACCTGTCATTCAGATGTGCTTTTGTGAGACCGTTTATACAAAGACATGGATACAAGCAAGAATCAATCCTGGAAGAGACTTTGCAAAGTCAAATCTATTGGTCAGCTTTTTAGATAACTTTAAGTAAGATTTCTCTATCTAAATCCAGGGATCTGTCCCCTCACACATACACGGACGCACACACAAAATTGTCAGTATGGATTTTCAGTGTAGCAGGCATTTGTGTTTCCTGTCTTTTGTTCAGTGATACAATACAGACTCTCATTTAAAAAAAAAAAAGACTAACCAGGTCGTGTTATATGAGTGGTTTCTTTTAGTTTACCCTTAGCCTTGACTTGATGTTTTAAAAAAATGGTGTCACGCATCAAAACTTAGACAAGTGCAAACTTACTTGGCCCAAGTGCACTACCGATATTGATTAAAAATGAGTTGATTTGATTATTGCTAACTTTCTTTAATTCAAATTGGTATGTAGTGCTTGGTTATAGCTTCTTTAGTTTTTAAAAGGGTTTGAAAACAAAATAGTCTACAGTCGAGACAATAAAAAGTCAAAGAAATATTTAATAAAAAAAAAAGTCTGCATAAGGAAAATAGTACTGTCCGTAAAAATGGGTGACCCAAATTCTCGACGGAATCAAACACGAAACCGACTCCGTGCCCAGCTACGGAAGAAACGGGAATCTCTGGCTGATCAGTTTGACTTCAAGATCTACATTGCCTTTGTATTTAAGGAAAAGGTATGTACATCTAAACGATATGAATTTGTTTGGAAAATGGACTGGCGTGGTTCTAATATCTCACTTTTTTGCAGAAAAAGAAGTCCGCACTCTTTGAAGTAGCTGAGGTTGTACCTGTGATGACCAACAACTATGAGGAAAATATCCTTAAAGGCGTGAAGGATTCGAGCTACTCCTTGGAGAGTTCTCTAGAGCTTCTCCAGAAAGATGTGGTGCAGTTACACGCGCTGCGTTACCAGTCGATGCGTAGAGTAAGTGTCCACACAAATGCTGTGCACTTTCAACATAGGCAGTTGAAGATTAAACCGCCATCGTAATTGTCTGTGTTGTCTAACTACACCATATCATGTCATTTGAGATCATTTTGTTTCTAAATTTGTCCAGGATGTGATAGGTTGTACCCAGGAGATGGACTTTATCCTCTGGCCCCGCAACGATATTGAGAAAGTTGTCTGTCTCCTGTTCTCCAGATGGAAAGGGGCTGAACATGAACCATTCAGGCCTGTTCAGGTATGTGTATGTAATGCTTGTTAAAAGTTTAAACACTACATATTCATACTAGTGCTGAATAAATTGATAAAGTAATGGCGTAGGGTTTAATCAGATTCTAAGTGGTTATACTTTATAACTTTCCACAGGCCAAGTTCGAGTTTCATCATGGAGACTATGAAAAGCAGTTTTTGCATGCTGTTGGCCGGAAGGACAAGGCTGGGATGGTTTTGAACAACCCCAATCAGTCTGTCTTTCTCTTCATGGACAGACAGCATTTACAGGTTGGTCAAGTAAATCATGAAAGCGTAAATGGTCAGTGGATAATTTGTCGATAAGTTTGAATATTGACATGTCTGATATGCTTTTTACTTACCTAACAGAACAAGTAGCCTCATAAAAATGTTAGTAATAAAAAATAACAAGGGAAGCACCAAAACTTCAGTGAGGCTGATAATATATTGAAAGTTTTCAGTTGAGGTCTTCAAGTTTTCCTGTGTGAAAGAGAATCTTGTGAGGACATCAAAACGTATGAATACAAAAGAACACACAAACTCACTAAAAATACTATAATGAATTTTCACATTGTGATTTTATATTTATAAAACAACCAAGAGTGGTGTTTTATGGATAATCATTAAGCTGACATGACATTAAATAAAATGTATCATCATGAACAATAATTTTTAAGATTTTGACCTAAAATGATGCATAAGATGGCCATCACAAAGGCAAAATTGCAATAATAATTGGTACATTTGCTTGGTTTTGTTTCAAAACGGCTTTTTATAATGATCTCGCTCCAATCTTCATTCACACTATATAGCATAAACCTACATAAAATATACACATAACCCATAAAATTGCCACTTACTACTAGGCATGCACAGATTTTGCGACCATCTGTACTTTGTCTACTGGTTGTGTGATGATCATATGAGAGGGGCTTGACGAATTAGAATGACACAATAGTCCAAAAGACCAGTCATAAAGTGATTGCGGATTCCTGTGTCTGTTTTCAATAGTTTGAATTTTAATTAATCTAGAAAATTATTGTTTCTGAAATAAAGCAGGGTCTTTTGGGGTTTTTAAAAGGCTTTATTTTAGTGGACACCATTATCTTAACTAAACTAATGCTTTTAAAAGTGTAAACACACTAATTTGAACGGCACCTTATTCTCAAGCCCCGCTGAAAAATGTTGCTAAACTTGCATTACTCTAATTTTTTTACAGTATACTAAAGGTATTTATAGATTCTGTTGTTCTGTCAATACAAATATAAAATAATCCAATAATACATGTTTGGCTTATTCAGTAATGACCATAATTTGATTTAGTTAATTTGTAACAGACCATTTCAATGTGGTGTCATTGGCCCATGATCATTTCCTGCATGTTGTCCGTATTTCATAGCTGTAACAAGAGGCAATTTAATCACACATTCACATTAATAGCACTATCATAACATTATTTATCAGTATGTGGAACTTTTTGCATTCTCTGAAACTATGGAAAATAAAAATGTTAAACAGGAAATACGCAAGGACCGTTATTATTGTTTACATTCATCAAAATGGTCTACAGGCTTCCTAACCCCCAAATATTTTAGCATTATGTAGTATTTAAGTACAACTCATTTTTAAATGTTTATTTATTAATTTTTTTCCCCCAGACTCCAAAAACCAAGCTCACAGTTTTCAAGTTGTGCAGCCTCTGTCTCTACCTGCCACAGGACCAGCTCACCTGTTGGGGAGTGGGAGACATCGAGGACCACCTCCGTCCATACATGCCTGACTAGGAGAAACGCACGGAAGACACCCCTCAAGGCCTCGAAGCAAGTTGTCCTTATCTACACATCCCTCAGTTGAATAGAATTGAACTTGTGCTTGGAACTCTCCTTTTTGTTAACCACTCATTTTCATCTTGAGATTAATTTAGCTCCCTTTCCTGTTTTTTTTGTTTTGTTTGTTCCTGTTTCCGTTTTTTGTTTTTTTAAATCCCTCACCAAACAATCTTGGTTTGGCTCATCCCATCTCCCCCCTCCCTCTTTGATCAGTTTTTATTTTGAATCTGCATGAACATTGATTTTGAGTGGTTGTTCTCTTGGAGCCGCACTGTCAACAATACCAGTCACTGAAGGAACTCTTCACATTAAGAAAAAAAAACAAAGAAAAAAATATGAGAATAAACAATGACAGAAGTCTCTCACATGAGTTGGACGGGTTTTAACATCGCTGTCATGAGGGATAGTTAAGATGTCTCTTATTTTGAGTAGGGATTTCATGAGTAACGACAATCGGTGACAGAGGACAAAAGAGCCTGGGTTGTCTTCCAAGGCTTTTGTTTTAATATTTCAAGGCGAATACTTAATTCATTTGGTGTAGGCATTGCTTCTCATTCAGTTCCTGCCTTAGTTTTTGCTGGACATTTGTTTAATTTGAGTGTCATTCCTTGCCTATATTATGTTTTCTCATTTCTGGAGGAGTTGTGCCCGATGGGGACGGAGGTGCAGAGTGTGATTTTTATATCCTAGACATAAATTGTCTGTTGGAGGAATTCTGATGCTGTGTTTTTCTTGGGATGCTAATTGTCAACAGTCGAGCTTTTCATGCACTATATACATATGAGCTACTGACACCAGATGTACACATTGGTGGTGGGTTATGTGATGGGAGACTGACGCTTTTGTACCTAATGAGAAATTTCATTTGGAGAAACTTGAAATGGATCATTATGGATTTATTTCTTCTTTTATATAGACCACCCTGCTCTTAGAGTACTAAATATTGCAGTGCTTGGGACTTGGTATCTGTAAGCCATCCTTTTCGGTTCATATGGCATAAAATCTTTAATTTTTTTTCCCTCCCTTTTGAAATTCTAAGTTCACGTTGAAGGGGAAAGTGGGTCTTTTGTCTTTATTTTGATGTACCCATTGTTTGAATAATTCTGTTGAAATAAACACTGCTGAACATATCCTAACACGGTGTAACATAATTTGATGCCAGACTTTATTGCGTAACATCAAGACAGACATAATATACAGGGCATGTGCGTAATTAGCTGCCGAGGTGTTTTGTGTGTCTTCCCTGAGCGATGAGTTTTCCGTTGGCCTTGTTGGTGAGATCTACTGTTGCGAATGCCAGAGTCCGTCCTTGTTTTAAAACCTGTGCAGTGATCAGGATGTCTTCTCCAATTTTAGCGGCATTCATATATCTGTTCAAATCAAAACAAATGAAAGAAAATGAGCAGTCTGTCCACATAATGTAGAAAATTGGTTATTTTTCGAATTATTTTAATTTAAATCCAAGTAAAATTTCTACATTTCTCTATAGAGACATCATTAACAGGCTTCGCTGCAAAAATAAAAAAATCAACATTTGCACCATTGCAAGGGAAGAAATACAATGAGATATATACATAGCTAATGTTTTTCAGCCAATGATGGTCATCCGATGAGAGCTTTATGTGACTATTTTCAATTTTATAAGGTTACTTTTACAGCATCAATGTTGAAATGTAATTCAAATATAATCCGTTAAATAGACTTCAGCATCTATTTGGTTGTTAATATAAAAAGAGACGAAAGACCCAGGTGCCGTCATTAGTAGCAAGCTAGCACTGAAACTCCATTAAAAATATTGGGGTAAATTTAATTTCCATATTTTAAATACATTTTGTGGGAAAATAGATTTTAATGGAGTGCTTCTTGTTAAGACTGAGACCCACTTTATATTGCATCTCAGCCAGGCAGTGAAGATCATTTATTTATTTGCTTTTGGTTTAAGCTGAAAAATCATACATGTAGTTATGGATTGTTTAGCATTTACACTAAATAAACTGGCCGAAATTACCACTTTATATAATTGAACTTGATTAAATTTCTTGCATAGTTTTATTGTAGTTTTATTTGTATACTTCTATTTTAATAAAATATAACACAATTGTCAACAAGCAACTATTAAAAATTTATTTATTAGTGAATAATTCAAGAGATTTTTCAAAACTGCAATCTTAAACCAGTAATGAAATGTTAAATCAGGGGAATCTCAATCTCTCTTATAAAACAAACAAAGAAATAAAGATTCTCACCTCATCCAGAATCATTCAGCTCTAGGTCCTTTTATAAGGTCACTAATATGTTCATCCAATCTAGCACCAAATACACTTTCTCTCCAAATAAGTAAATTAACCCTGGGATTAGGAATGTACAGTTTGTCTGTTGAGTCTTAAATTTCAAAAACACAATTTTAGGCCTTAAAAGTCTAAATTAGCCTAAATATTGCCTTGCATCATTTGCAGCTGGAAGGGCATGCCCTGCTTAAAACATATGGCAGAGTAGTTGGCAGTTCATTCCACTGTGGTGACCCCTGATAAATCAGGGACTAAGTTGAAGAAAAATTAATAGACGTAAAGCTACCTAATCAATCCAACACTCATCCAATCAACAACAATACATCTCAATCAAACTTTTAGCCAAACTATATTCATAACCAATATCATAACCATCTGTTGTGTTTTTAAAGAGTTTTTTTTTTCTATACAGCTAGGGTCTGCTTCTTTTGATAGAAATTTTTAAATAAGTACATTAAATACAAGAAATACCTCATTAGAATTAGTTTTTTGATGGGGCAAGTACATTTTTTTTCTGATTGGCCATTAAAAAAAATCCTTGGCTTACAGTCCAGTATAAGTCTAAGTTTTCTTCTTCGTGGTCTTTAAAAGTGTTAGATTTAACTTGGTGAAACCTGCAGAAACCCTGGTACAGAGAGAGGATTAAATGGTAAACCTGAGTAAATGATGACAAGTGTCAAATGTGAAGCAAAACAACACAGGGTTCAGTTTACCACAGGGTTACATTCAGAATGTGTGAACAGTAATATTAGTACTTCAACTCTTAAACCTATGAGTCCACATTTATTTTTAATTTTAATATAACAATAGTATTTAAACATACTCTTTCTTGACATTATTAAGCTATATTCCAATTCTGGATCGTTGTTGGTGAGTGTATAACTAATAATATGTTGCCCAAGACATCCCTGCACATGTGACGGTAGCAGAGATGCAGTTTTCCTTTACAGTGAGACAGACTCACGTTATGTTCATGTCCACACTGACTCCAGGAGCTCCTCTCTCACTGTACATGATGGCCATGGTGGAGATCATGTCCACGAGCGTGGCTGTCATTCCTCCGTGAAGAGTTCCCCCTCTGTTCGTGTGCTGCTCCTCCACCTTCATCTCACACACCACCTTACCGGGAGCCGCAGACAGAACCTCCACCTGCTCACAATATCAACTCAATATCACTGTGTCTGGTCTGGCAGGACCCTCAAGGAGAACCACAAACACTCACCTTACTTAAAACCCGGTCAAACCCAGGACTGTCCGCCATCGCTCTGAAGATCTGTTTGACTGTATTCAGCGTTAATGAAGCCATTACTGATTCTAGCATTAAGTAACAAAACACAGAGAAGGACAAGTTCACTATTGTAAACCGCTTGAAAGCTGGCCCAAGTTATACAAAATAAGAGTTTTGTTATTTTTTCGTCTTTGAACCCCTTAATTAAAAAAATATATATATCTTATAATAGAAAATAAAGCTTGTATACAAGTGTTTTAAAATTGCCCTGCGTTCTTCTCAAACTAATTTCTAAGCGATTTGTAAGATGTGATGAACATTCGGCTTTTAGTTTGAAATAATGGATCTTTTTATTCATCCATCGGAGTCGGATCTTTGTAACGAACCCGCTGAACCGGTTTACGAAACGATCTGAATCAATCGGTGAAATAGAAAATCGATAATATTGTAACGGTGTTCGCGGACAAAGGCACTTGAATTAAATAACGTTTTCCATGTAGGTCATAAATATCGTCTAATTTATTTGCGACATCATGTCTACATTAAACCGAACTGCAAAACAAAGTAAATAATAATACATATTATTCGTGCATAAAAAGTTTAGAGAATGTTGTGTATTACCTCGATTGGCTATGCGCCACAATAATAGGCAACGCTATAAAAAGAATCAGTGAATCGTTTTACTGTTCAAAAGAATCGACTCTTTCAGCACTACAGTTAAATTCTTCCGGAAAGCCTCTACTTGAACAACAATTTAGCAGAAACTCTATGAGCGCCCTTTTTGTGTGTGAAAATCAAACAAATAATACTTTAAGAACTTATACAATTTATAGGGATTTTGAAGCAAGCCCAGAAGCTGTAAGATAATGTTAATTTAGATTTTTCTTAGTATTTTTCACGGTTTCCACCCGGAATATTTTTTTGGCTGTACACGCTCACAGCCCGCCGTTATATTAAACTGTGAACATGTCCAACACTGTTTTGTCAGGTAATCAAACCGATCAACAAATGTCTGCTCTGGGGGAATCCAGGACGAGACTTTGTGATCAGTTTGCCTTTGTATCTGGATCGGACAGCGCCGTGGCACAGTGCTATCTAGCAGAAAATGAGTGGGACATGGAGGTTTGTCAGTAGGAACTTACTTTACTCATCTTATCAACTCTATGGTTTATGGTTAACAATTTAGTAGATTGTATGTCGTTTTCCATATGTAAAACCATTGCTGTTTTTTTTTTTCAATTGTGTTTGTGTATTTTGCCAGAGAGCTTTAAACTCTTTCTTTGAGGCTCATATGGATTCAGTCTTTGATGAGGAAGCAGAGAAAACTGAAGTGACTGGGAATAAGAGAAAAGATGACACTGCTGAAGCTTCAGGGACGAAGAAGAAATTGAAGACGGACAATGCGGATTGGTATTGTCTCCATATTTATTTAGTATCAAACACTGCATTTGCAATGAATGCGAGTTGTAAAAAAATACATTCTAAAATAAACTAAACATTAAAATGATACAATTAAAGTGTGTCACGTTTAAGTTGTAAAATATAAAACGTGTTTTACTGTTATTTATAGAAGTGATTGACTAAGTGGTATATATTGTGTAATGTATCAATAAATATCAAGGTAAAGTTGGGTTTATATTCACACATTTGTTTATTTAATGCTCTCTATACTGTTTACCACGCTAATCTGAATACTTGGCGTGAACTTGCATGAAAGAATGACTTTAAAACAACATTAACACCATTTAATTGACAGTGAACAATGTTTTATTTTGATGGTCATTGGCTGCTATTATGATTTCCCTT